ACGATGAGAGAGGAGAGATGGACGAGAGGTGAGAGAGAGCTGAGGAGACGCGAGAAGCACGGAGTGGTAGCCGACGTGGAAGAGAGAGCGAAGAGGACAGAAAGAGAGAGCATGAGAGAGGAGAGAGAGGAGTGAGAGAGAGAGAGAGAGAGGAAGGAGAGAGAGAGAGAGAGAAGAGAGGAGAGAGAGAGGAGAGGAGAAGAGAGAGAGGAGAGAGAACGAGAGAGAGAGAGAGAGGAGAGAGAGACGAGAGAGAGAGAGAGAGACAGAGGAGAGAGAGGAGAGGAGAGAGAGAGAGAGAGAGACAGAGAGAGAGAGAGAGAGAGAGAGAGAGAGAGAGAGAGACAGAGAGAAGAGAGAGAAAGAGAGAGAGAGAGAGAGAGACAGAGAAGAGAGTGAGAGAGAGAGAGAGAGAGAGAGAGAGAGAGGAGAGAGAGAGAGAGAGAGAGAGAGAGAGAGAGAGAGAGAGAGAGAGAGAGAGAGAGAGAGAGAGAGAGAGAGAGAGAGAGAGACAGAGATTGTGTGATGGTGGTACGAGAACGGAGGGGTGGGAATGTGAACAATATTCTAAATGATTATTTTACAAAGATCTCTATTTTTAAAAATTAAAATAATCATTACATTATGTCAACAAAATAATGACAATGATATTGGCAGTGAACATGACAATACAACATAATGACAACAATGGCAGTGACAAATCAGAGCAATAACGGTGTAAAAAAATCACATCAATGTAACAAAAACATCATCAAAGATGACATTACGACAGTGCTCAAAAACATTACTAAACTAACAAGAACAATTACATCAACCATAACGAGAACAAAATAACTCAGCTTTTTGTTGTAATGGTAGTGATGACTTTTTGGATGATGGTGATGACTGTTCTGATAGTAGTGATAACTTTTTGATGATGATGGTGACTGATCTGATAGTGGTGATAACTTTTTGATGATGGTGGTGGTGGTAGTGATAACTGTTTAGAGGGTGGTGATATAACATAAAAGACAATAACAATAAAAACAATCAGCCCATAAGCAAATATATAAAACAAAAATTATACTGATGATTAAAGATCAAGGATTAAAGATTTAGTTTCAATTCCATTTGCTACAATGGATATTCTTTGCTGTGACATACTGTCTGTTTAATTTTGCTTCTAAATTTCCCCGTGTGCAAGGAATGGCCGTGGTTACCATCCAATGGAAGTGCACAGGACTGAACGCAGGTCAGCAAGATTGCTAGACTAGTATGTTACCATTGCATTACACAGCACATTTATATTAAATTCAACAAATAATACCAATGATAACTGCAACCATGACAACGAAAATATAATTAAAATATAATAAACAAAGATTAAATAAGAACAATGTCAAAAACAGTAATTATAATCATAACAAAAATAAATAATAAAAATATAGAACAAAAACATTTGATGATGGTGATGATGATGATAAAACAAAATAATCATAATTATAACAAACATAAATCACAATAATATTAAACAAAATATAAAAATCATCATCATCAAGATGATGATAATAACAATAATGATGATGACAGTCATTTTAATAGCAATAACAACAATCATTATGATCACAGCAAAAACAACAACAACAATATTAAAGAAAATGACAATAACAACATAATAATGATAACCCATTTGCATTGCGACATATGTAAAAGGGTACTGAAAGAAACTGAATATCTTCACATTGCAAGAGAGGTATTTGGCCAGTTTCAAGCACATCTTTGTCAGAAATGGATGTCTTTCTGATGAAGATATGATCTAAACTGATCAAATACATCTCTTACACTATTTAGATATTGAGTCTCAACCTCATCTTTCATAACAATAACAAAACACTATAACAATAACAATGCATAACAATAACAAAATCAACATAACAATATAACAATATTGTTATTATAATCATGATCATTATATATATCGCTTTCATCATTATTATCTAATCATTGTTAAGTACAAACAGACATCACTCATGTATCTCCTTTATTTTTAATTTTGGCACCTTTTGCCATAGAAGTGTGTCTCGATTTACGACAAGGTAATCATTCCATTACCTTTTTTATTTTTACTGTAACCCTGACTGTCATTTCCCACAAATAATACATACCATTAATTAAGGTAACATAAGAAAATAAGGAAAATAAAAATTATTGATTCTTCAATTGAGAACTCGATCTAAACAAAATCACTGACAGCAACAAAAACAACAACGAAGTGCCAGCAAAAAAATAAAGAAAAAAATTCGCGTCCCCCTTTCAACAGCAAAATGCAAGCGAGCGCAGCAAAAACAGCCCCGTTAACAGCCCTCGTCCAGCACCATAACAAGCACTTGCCTGCCCCTCTCCTGCCACCCACGCAACCCCGGGGCCAAGTCCTTCCCCTAAATCCTTTCCAGTCCTCCCCAAATTCCCGTTCCATCAGCCAGACCCTAAGGCAAACATGCCCGAGTGCCACAGGAGTGCCACACACCCCTTCTTTCCGTGCCAAGATAACCGAGGTAAGAGCCTACCTCTCTTCAATCGACTTGCATTTTAAAGCGACTTTATTCTTCCCTGGAGCCACTGCGAGGCCACAGGGGCGATTCCCCGGAGAGTCGACACATGCCAGGACTCTCCTCCTGTCTGATTTCCCCCAAACGAGGCGAGGAATCGGCCAGTGCCAGGTTAAAAAATCAATTATTGCAAACACTATCAGTGCTCGCAGCGAGGCCTCCCTGGCAGGCATCCAGCAGGAGGCGCGCGAGCCAGGGAACACCAAAAATCCCGAATTTCAGCCCGTGCCCTTATCTCTAGCGGCGTGACAGTGTATCTTACCATGACTCTGGCCATTGACACCGCCCACCAGGCAACCGACGAACTCCAGGAGGCTCCAAATAGCGTGTAATTTCCATAAGAACGTTTTCATGTTAGCGCTCACTCGTGCACCTCCGCCATACTGTGTCTTACTACTGAAGGTCTGAAGGCGCCCTCGCCTTCCCGACGCGGAATTCAGGACTACCAGAGACTCCTCCCGGGAAGCTCCGAGGGCGTGAGGGGACACAAGGGGCTTTCGAAGGGAAGTCTAGAATTTATGGACGATATTCTGTTAAAATTGAGCATGATTTGGCGATGTGTAGTGAATGGAGGAGGCCGTTAATGAATGCACTCCAATGTTATTGGAAATCTTCATGTCATTCACTTACATGTTCTGTGAGATGATGACCTTTTCATCTATTCTTAACGTTAATAAAACTATAATACCCCAGTACAAAGGGCTCCAGAGGGAAAATAAACGTCGAAAAGGTCTGTTTATTTAGCGTAGTTGCGAACGCGGCCCAATGACCAATCAGGAGCCGCGGACGGAGTGACGCAAGCCTTGTTTACGCTCAGCCCTTCGCTCACTAGGAAATTACGCTCGGCCCTTGTACACTCTCGTATTTACGCTTTTATCCTCCACTGACTCAAATATACGGCTATCTCGGTAAGACTTCCGTGGACTCGTTTTACGTTCTTCTCTCCCACTGATTCAGAAGGAGGCTCGTCGGTGGCAGTGACTCATATTTACGCTATTCTCTTCAATTAACTCTTAAATTGAACTCTTCTGTTCCAGTGACTCATATCTACACTATTCTCTTGCTTTGACCCGTAATATTTACCGTATACTCTTCTGTTCCACTAACTTATATATGTATATGGTCTTCTCTTTCAGTGAGTCATATTAACACACGTTGCTGACTCTCATGTGAAGGGGCTAATCACACTCATTCGTGGCCACTTGACACGATGAAGTTTCCTTTGTAAGTATTATCTTGGATTCTTTTGATGGATAAGTAAGTTCCCAGAAACGTTTTGTGTGTGCATGTATGTATTAATAATGATTTT